TATATGGTACAAAAATTCAGCTCAGCACTTTTGTTAACAACCGATTTTAATGATGCATGTGGAAGTTGCAACGCTAACTCAGTGATGGGTAGGTTTAAGGGCGGAGTCAGGGGTGGATCATTCGTACGAATTCATGAGAATTAGGCAATTCGTAAAATCAGTACGATTTAGCAATAAACGTACGAACTATAATTTCGTCCGAATTAGCCACCTCGTAAAATGCGTAGCCTATAAATTGCGTGATTCGGCTGATCCTTAATACGATCGCGGACAGCGATCTAATTATTCTAATATTTAATGTTGTTTTTTTATGCTGTTGATTTTAAATAGCAAATAAGAATCAATTAAATTGATGTATATATTTTGAGACAACGGTCTTGTTAATGATTTTCCGTTTTATTCAAGGTAATTAAAGCAACAGTCTCTTAATAGCGGAAGAGTACGCCTACAGGTATGGTATGGGGTAAAAGGTGCACCTGCTGTCTGGGCTTAAGGCACAATAATTAACATGATAGTAAACAGACGCTGACATAGATAGATGTCATAAATTAATTTGGCTGTCATATTCAGTATTGTCAGTATATTCATAAGGAAACCATAATTTTAAAAATATATATATTTTCATAATTGCATACAATAAAATATCATATTTATTTTCTACAACTGTAAAGCTTTATTCAATTGTTATGGGATCCCATTCAATGCTTTCAGACGACTTTGACAACTTTGTTTCTGTATTTATTTATTTATTTATTTATTTATTTATTTGTATTAATATGACAGTAAATTGGAAAATTAATATGAAATGAATAAGAAAATTAATTATTTTATTTATTAAAACAAAAAAAAAACAAAAAAAAAATAGTACAAACTTTACCAAAGTGATTGTTTTGAATAAGTAGCCTATTAACTTTTAACTTTTTTTTAAGTAGCCATTTGCCCCATGCTGGTGAGCCCTTTATGTGAGGTAAAAGGCCGACCTTGCCACTTCATACATTTCTAAGATTTTTAACCCCTTAGCTGTCACCCCCCCCCTCCCCCCATTTGAGAATGGGGGTTAAAATGCACTATTCAAACTTAAATTAAGAATGCTTTGGAATATATACCCAAGTTTGGTCTTGTTTTCAAGAAAACACTCAGCAGAATATTGCTGAAGTGAAAACACTTCAAAAAATGAAAGTATGAAAAAGTTATGGAAGTTTAAATTTACAGTAAATCAAATATATATTTTTTATTTTATATAAAATATATATTTTACAAAATATTTTTTACTCTAAAATTTCTTTAAAATCAAAGCCATAAATCTTATCAAGTTATGTTCCAAATCTGAAGTTGATATCACAAAAATTGAAGTTCCCATGAGATTTTGTTTAGGCGTAGTACCAAAAATAGCCACCGGGTGCCATTGAATTCCATTGAATTTAGTTGTATACATTCTGCCTAAACAAATTAGTACATTTCTGTCCAAATATCAATTCTGTCACAAAATGTGGAACCTTGAGACTCTGACCTTTCTGACAATATCAATTTTGTCAAGATTAGAAAAGGTTTTGATCCTAAATTATGAAATATAATGACGCCCAAAAGGGCAGGAGCCTGATAAAACAAGTACCGTTTCTATGGTAACGCAACGTTCAATTATAAAACAGTTTTCACACAATGAAATCTGAGTTTATAAGCTTTCAAATGATACCGAATTTATGATAACTACTAAAATATGTGATATAATAAAAAAGGCGATAAAAAAATAATATTATATTTTAGAGGATAATAAATATAAATATCATTTTTAGAGGATAATATATTATACTATAATTTTTTATTTTTTATTGAAGAATACTAGATTATATGTTTTACTATGAACTTTTAGCATAAAAACAGAAGTTTCAATTATTAAAAGTGGGTGCATCGACTTTTTGTGACAAAGGTCAAAACTCCTGTTATGATGCAGATTTTTTTGAGGTGCACTCTTGTCATAAATTCATCAATTACTCTTCCTACATAATTTTTAACACAAAACAGGGGTAGAGTATCTATTTAGAAGTCTTAGACCTTTCCAACGATATATAATTTGTCATAATTAGATTAGGATTTAATAGAAATATAGTGAAATAAAATTAGGTGTCCCGGTACCGGGACGGTGACAGTTAAGGGGTTAAACACACAAACAAACAAACAAACCACTTGTACCAGATGACAAACGACTTGAGTAATATTATAAATTCTTAGATATTAAAAACTCTCTTTATGCAGAAGCCACAAATTTCCATATTTTGAGTAATGAGTCAGAGTTTACAGCACAAATTGGCTCCTAAACATAAATGTTTACATATTATACCATTTGGTTGCAGATGCCACTCATTTTTTGTATTTTGCACTTAATGGAATGAAATGTATTCATTTTACTTGTGAAACAGTAACAGATGTATGCAGTATCAGAACTTTAAATAATGGTGATGTTAATATTTCATATTGGAGAAAAAGTAAAAAGATGAGGTCTGACAGCCTCAAATGTGCATTTTCATAACTCATCATCAGTGTATAGAGCTTTCAGACGTTATCATTAAATGCACTGATAACAGAGCCAATCTCTGTTCTCTGGGATTTCTTACACCATTTAACTTCGACACATACCAATCTCAGGTCAACCAGGTTATAGAAGGAAATTCTGCGATTATTTCTGCGATAAATTCTGCTTAAGTACCAACAATGTTGTGTAACAGTGACAGCAAAGCGCATTCTTTTTTGTTCAAAGAAACACTGCTAATTCCTTTTTAAGCTTACAATGTTAGCATATTGACCATTGATAATATATAATTATTGGTTATGAGTGATAACAACGATGTTTAGTATAAATGTAATAATGAAAGATAAAATATAACCAATGGCTTACAACATTTTAACAAAATAGTAATATCTCACATGAGTCAGATTCACATGCATCCACACAAAATAAATAGTATAAAAAGTGCATTATTATTATTTGAAATGTTTTCAGTTAATGATGATATTGTGTGACCGACCAAATGTAAAACTTGTATATTTAGAAGATAGTTTAAATATAATAGATTATAAAAGACGAGCTTTTTTTGCATTTTTTTAACTGATAATGTATGTTGTATACAAAAAACTACATGTTTATGCATTATTTCAAATACACTGTGTAACACATACAGTTATGTGATGTGTTACACAACACAAGACACACATTGTGGGTGAAAAATTGAAAAACACCCTTTCAAATGATCCTTAGTGCTTTGGTTTGTCCTGACAAAACATGAATTTATATTTTAGTTAATGAATCTCATTAAAGGTGAGATCAGCGCACACACCAAACCTTGTATTACACCACACTAACAAACTCTTTGAGTTCAAAGGAACTTCATTTAAAATGCAAAGATCCATATTTCAAAAAGAATGGGAACGGTAGAGGGAGGATGTTTTATATTTAAACATTTCAGTGCCACAGAGTCCAGTGTTTTATGGAGAGCAGTTTCGGGTCAATATTCCTAGCATTTGGATTTGTTCTCCCTATTATTATTAATGGTACTTACATGAGCACAATAAACACATTCAGTATAGAAAGGAAACATGTAGTATAAAAACAAAATCATGTTCACAGTAAATTAATCTAGTCTCAAAGATTGTTAACAAATAAGCACATAATCTAAATTCAATATGATATAATTAGCCATTGTTTTGTCACTGAGTTGTAGGCTAGTTGGTGGCAATAGTACAAAATGATCACTTAAAATGTATGTTAGTGACTGATACACAACAATCAAGAAAACTAGTACAAATGTAGCTATTCTTGCATCAATAACGTCACAGTACTTTTTAACTTCTATTCACGGAAGCAACATTTCAGTAAAAGAAATAAAATCTTTCCTCACTTTAGAACAGCAAATTATATTTTTAGGCCTATATTTGGCAACAAATCATGAAAGACACTATAACCGTTAGAGACTGGCTCTTCTGTCATTTTGTAATGCAATGAAATGGAAAAACTGGTGCCTTTCTTCTTCCAGTGGCTGTCAGGAAGTATATGAAAGATAAACCTTATTCTTTGTATGGATACAGTAATATAATTAAGCAACCTACAACAAGACAATGACTCCACCACCGCCAAACTGCACTGAGATTAGGCTACCTACAATGTAATATCTAAGCTTTCTTTTGCTACTGTCCTCAGAGACAGGCTGGTTTCTCTCCGCTTCTTGTCTGACACCCCTCCCTCTGGAGAACAGATCTGGCCAGAACCCCTGCTGAGTTGTTCTTTGGGTGCTGTGGTAACACCCACACTACCGGCGAGAGGAATGTGCGCAGATTGTACAATACAGAAAATCGTATTGGGCATACAATAATAAGTCTACCGTGGCTCTTTGCATGTGTGTTATTTCCAAAGTCATGTGTTTTATATATATATATATATATATATATATATATATATATATATATATATATATATATGCAGTCCCATACATTGTGCATGGATGTTTTTATAGCAATCTCACAGAGATGCAGAGGAAATATCAGGGCTATAAACGATGAAGGTTGTGTTTAGTGGTGAAGGGCCCGATAGCAGCCCATCCCCCTCTCTAGGAGCCCAGACTGTCTGGAGGAGGGGGAGGGGAGATGCAGTCTGCTAGCTAGACAGCCAGTCACTGAGTGCATGAAGCCACATGGATCACCTTTCAGTGCAAATTCATAATCAAGGAGCATCTGTACTCGAGAAGCCTGGCACATTCACATTCAAATTACTGTCACCGAGGCATAGCCTAAGTTTTGTGCATTGACCCGCAGACATTTGTAAATGCTCAGATATAAGAGCCACTTAAAGTATGCAACATGCAGCTTGCACAGCTGCTGTTATGTGAGCGTTAAAAAATCGTTGAGGCAGGTAATATGTGCTTTGCAAGTCCAAACAGACAAGGCAGACGGTTCATCGGGATCAAAGGTGACACGCCCACTTATGCAAATGAGGAAGTGAGTCAACGGAGCAGTGTTTAGGGTTCAGTTCCAGCTGAGTTTATTTCCTTTATGAAAAAGTTCTGTACAGGAGTTTATGAACAGTCTGTCAGGCAGTGACTTGACACAATAAGCTGGCATGAGATTTATGGCATGATAAGACAAAACAAGATTTCTACACAGCATATTGCACAGAATGGGTGAAAATAAAGTTAATATATTTCCAATGTATAAAAATCCTTAACAACCATCTTGAAATGAAGTAGCTAAGCAAGAATGTTTAAAGATAGCCATTCTAGTGCCTGTCGAGATAAGCGCAAAACATACATAAACACACAATCTTTTTGCCTATGATACAGCTGTACAAAGATTTTTTTTCTTGCTTTTTTAAAACACAACAGCTAAAAACCTGAATCGGAAATACAAATCTATTCACCATGCCTTAAGATACTAAACAATTAGCTATAGGCCTACGTATGGACAAGTATAAAAGATTAAATATTCAAATACAGCGAGGAACGCAGTACATCATCGTCGCGAATCTCAAATGGACCATTTTGAATGTGTAACGATTTTCCATCCAGTGGTTTCTCAAGATATAAAACGCCAAGAAAATCGCTCGTGTTAAAGCTACAATCGGTTTAATTCGGCACGCTCAGAGAAAATGTAAAAAAACGAAGCACATGTTGGCTTGAACTGGGTTTTGGAGTGTGTGTCTTTAAGACGCCTGCAGATTGAGACTGTAAACATGAAACAGGAGGTCGATTCAGAGACCACCGACCACCTGTCTCTTCAAATTACGAAATCCAAAACAGAGATTTACACCTATGACACCCCCCATTTATATATATTTGTACAAAAATACACTGAGAAAATAATCAAACGTTTCCTCTCTTTAAGTGTCAAAAGTCTACATTTTTTAAATATAAAAAAACAAAGGTTAAAACTCTAGCCCTTCTTCGGAGAAGGAGACAGACAGATGCGAATGTACTACTTACAAGAACATAAAAATATGACGAACTATTTGGCCAGTGGCCTATATAAATACATCCATATAAAAATGGCATCTGAAGAACACAGAAAAGGAAACAACCATGACAAAACTTAACAGTATTTCTCAATAGTTTCAGAAACTTAAAGAGTTTTGGTCCTGAATTGTAGAGAGTAGTATATAAAGTTCAGCACAGATTTGAGTTTGTATTTGAATCCTGAAGTTAAGAATGAAAACAGCTGGTGATTTTTTTTCTTCCTGCGAGTAGGAAATCAAACATAGCGCCATCTATCCATTTAAATGATCCTAACGTTAGTTAAACTGTTCGACAGTCTTACAGAATTCTCAATACAAGAGAGAGGACCGATAACATGCGCTATATCCCCCCTTTTCTTAATGTAAAAAACCTGTTTATCTTTTGTCAACCCACCTTGCCAATAAATCCGCCATGCTGAAAATCAGCCTAGCCTATATTTCAGTAGGCTATACTTCTGTTAAGCAATAAAGTCCACAAGTCCATTAAAGTTCATAAACGTCTCTTTTGATGTAAAAATGATTAAAACAGACGACAGAAGCCCGTCTTCGTGTACGTGCAAATCAATGGGTTTCCAGTTCAGAACGTGTTTTCTCAAGCACTCCTCGTGAATTTCCTCCTATCGTCTCGTGCCGAGCACGGGGAAATAACTTCGGCCCTCTCGCGACAAAATGTTTAGCGGCACTTTTCCATCCTGCCAGCGTTTCACGAAAGCATCGTGGCTTTTGTTTTTCAGCGCTTTGCCGTTGTCTCACGCGCGGGACCCCTCACATGGTGGCTTATTTTACAAACACACTTGTCTGCTATCCCTTTTGTTCAGTGTTCTTTCTCAGAAGTATGTCCTCAACTTTCTCTAGTTCAAAACGTGAGCCGTGAACACCAAGTTAGAAATGGTCGACTCCAACCAGTCCCCTGAAATCATTTCGCTCACCTCAGGGGTGCAGTAGTCGGGGAACTCGAAATGTGAAGCCCCGGATTCAAAATGCATGTCAAAGTCTCTGTCCAGCACCGAGGAGCCGATGCTTCCCATGGACATGCTATCAAAACCCGGGCTCGGGTTAATGTCCAGCATGTCGTCGTCGAGTTCCTCGTCGGAAGAAGAGGAGAACTGGGATGAGGACGACGAGTGTGACGCGGACGGAGTGGGTGAAGACGCTCGCATGCTGGTGTACCTGTGGCGGTCCGAGGACGAGCTGCTGGGGGAATCAGCGCCCTCCTTCCCGCTCGTCGCGCCGTCGTCGTACAGGCTCAGCGGGTCGCTGGACTCGGCAGCGCTGCTCAGGGTAGGACTGGCGGGCACAGCTGCTGAAGACGGGCTTATGCCACTGCCGCCCCCGAAAACGTAAACCCGCTTTGCCTTCTTGTCGGGAATTTGCTTGGAAGCTGACGCCGACTTGGATTTGTAAAGAGAGTGGTGATCCGCGGGTCCCTGTTCGGGAAACGCCGCCTTCGCGCTACCCAAAACTATTTTGTGCGGCTTGCTGGTTGATCTGGGGCTCCCATTCTTTTTGGAGGACGGCTTCGATCCGGCACTCGTGCTGCCGCTCCCACTGATCTTTTCTCCCTTCTCGCTCGGTTTGGGGCCGCCTGACTTTACCTTTTTTCTCGGCCGGTACTTGTAGTCTGGGTAGTCTGCCATGTGCTTGAGTCTGAGCCGCTCCGCCTCTCGGATGAAGGGAATCTTGTCGCTGTCTTTCAGGAGCTTCCAGCGCTTGCCAAGTCTTTTGGAGATCTCCGCGTTGTGCATGTCCGGCGACTGCTCCATTATCTTGCGCCTTTCGATTTGCGACCACACCATGAATGCGTTCATTGGTCTCTTGATGTGACCGCTGGGGGTTTTGCACCAGCCGGGGTCAAGCTTGTCACCCCCGGATGCCGTGAAACCAGGGGTCGGAGAGGAAGCCATGTCCAGATCCAGCGCGCCGGAATCGGAGGAGTCCCCAGCAAACAGCGCATCGGGGTTTTCAGTGCTGCTTGTTTTCTGGACCATTGCTACAGTCTGAGAGAGAGAGAGCGTGAACTCTCAAGTCCAGCGTGTCGCTAAAGAAAACTCAGTCTGTGAATAGTCCTGAGGAGAGCCGAGACGGCTGGTGCACCACACTCTTTCTGTCGTGCTTAGTGCAGTGGTTTTTGTGTGTCTAAAGTTTTGAATCGGGGCTTTATCATATAGTTCAATGAGCTGATACAGTTTCCGATTTCCACAGTGTCCGTGCATCCATTGATAATGTTGTATAACAGTCGATGAGCAGTTGAAAGTTTGTGTATGAGCGCAGCTATGCGAAAGCTCAGTGTTATGGTATGCGCTGCGATGCAGCCAAAGCTCTGTTCAAGTGTCGGAAGATATCTGACTCCTTCTGCATATCCTTCCCCCGTTAAACCATGCGGGAAAATCATGTAATGCTAGCAACAAGGGTCCGTCTCTTAAAAGCAGTCTGTAAGTTTCAACAGACTTCTATTCTGCCTCATACAGCTTTATCCGTTTCCAATGGTATAATAGCGACAGCGGCCAGCCAATCATAGGCTGTTTCTAGCCTTCTCTGCGCCAAAACACGCCCACTCTCTTTTCATTGGCTGAAAAAGGAATCTAATAATAATCAGCGCGTGCAATGAGGAGCTTTGGGTCTGACCTCATTCCAGCATACACCACAAACTTAGTTTTAAAGGCACACGATTGTTATTATTATTATTATTTATTTATTTTTTCGTTTTTGCAAGTAGACAGGGGAGGTGTGATGCATATAATTTGAATGCATATAAATACAGACACTTACTGCTTTGAGTTAAAAGTGAAGCTGTGTATGTTTTATATCAGAAAAACACATTTACATTTAAAGAAAAAAATTACATGAATAAAATAAAATAAAAATGAATAGCCTATAATATGATAAAATGCTAAAAATAATAAAGTATCATATCCATAAATAAATTAAAGCTTTCTGCGCATTCATCGATATCTGCCATCAAGTCAGCTCATTTCTCAAGCTCATGCTTTGTTGGGCTATACATCGGAAGACACACAGTGTAACTGAGTCCGGTCTCGAGTCTATGCGCATTAATGTGGTTGAATCGGAAGAGGGTGGAGCCACTGAAAAGCCGGGCGGTCCATTGTCACAGAACGCACGCCCCTAACCCCCTAAACAAAACACACAACAGCAACGTTCATTTTCGAAGTTCAGGTTGAGCAACACTCTCAACATCTCGTCAAGAGAACCTAACTCGCTGAATGCACTGAACAAGTTTACACCATTCGCACCCCTTTCTGCCCACGCGCCAGTGTTCAGTGGTGCATAACGGAGATAGTGAGACTGGTACATGTTCATGATTAGGGCTAGAGGTCTACGGTCATACACGATGTGTTATTTACCCCGAATCTACCAAATCTAGTACTAAGCCAGATCTACTGTTGAAGAAACACCGGATTGGAGTGACGCTAGATGGCAGAGTGGAGCCAAGGGACGCGTTTCGTTTGTTTTTAATGCAACAAAATGTTTGTTTTACATCCTTGTTATTGTTTATACAAAACATAGGCTCAAGCACGAGATCTAAAAAAGTGATAGTAATGTCACGCATTTCACTTAAGGATAAATCAGCAAAAAAAAAAAGTTTTGAGCGTTTCACGTTTGGTTCATGCGTCATGAATTGTTATATTAAATGCGAATATGAATTGCAAGAGAAATCAAAACAATACGAAGCTCTATATCAACACACAGATGTATCCACATGAATCTAATAAACATTTCTCTCATACATGACACAAAATTATGTAATGCTTGTTGCTTATTTGTAGGACTGCTAAATCTCACAGTTGAATCTCTGTCTTCTGCGTGTTTGATTTGTCTCGGTGTAAAACAGCCACACACACGCACACCAACCCCACAAATCGGTCTGCAGGTTTTCAAAACTTCATCTTTATTAGATTAGTCTATAAAGTACACATATAAATAAATGCATCATGGATATATGTAAATAACGTGTTATCTTTATGCCCGCGGGGGGTGTATTGCATCTTACACTTTATGGCTTGTGTTGGCGCGTGACGCAGCTGAACAGCTCGCGACTGTAAACGTGCAAAACGCCAAACAGCAGGTGCAGGGTGTCTATAACCCACAACACAATTATAAGTATCTACTATCCGATTTATTGTCAGTATTATTGCTTGGTCACTGGCATTTCCAGTAATCAGCTACTTTTATACTGCATGCAGGGTTGGGCTGAGAACTGAGACTCAAGATTTTTTTTTTTTTTTTTTTTTCACAACAAATGCTCATATTAGGTGAATGTAACCATTAATTTCAAAGAAAACAATACATTCAAAACACAATTAATGAAATATCATTTATAGTTCAATTTATGTGTTGCCAAAATTGATCTCATGTTCTTTTTCTGTGCTGCAACAATTCTGTTAAAAACCATCACCAATGTTTTAGTCCTAAGGCATGACAAATAAATATAGTAATAAATGTACAAATATTCCTATTCTACAACAGGGGTTCTCAACTCAGACCCTCAAGGTCCACTTTCCCTGTAGAGTTTTGCGCCAACCCTAGTGAAACACATCTGAACATCTAATCAAGGTCTTCAGGATTACTAGAAAGTTATAGGCCGATGAATTTGATCAAAACTGGACCTAGAGTTTCCAGGAAAGTGGACCTTGGGGGCCAGTCGGCCAGAGTTGAGGTAATAAAAGCTGCATGAATAATTATAAAATAATTAGAAAAATGCTGTTTTAGATGATGTTACTTCTGGACATTATTTCCCATTCTACAGTTCTGCAATGCACGACAAACGCTATGATTAATGATTACTGATGAATAATTGATCTGCTCTGAGAGGACACTAGGTTGAGTCAGATGCAGAGTTGTGTGCACACTCAGATCCATGTTTTTTTTTTGTTTTTTTTTGTGTGAACTGACATAGACACTTTGTGTATAGAGCACACATGTACATAAATCTGTGTCATTCACTGACAAGATACCGCACATCTGCTGTGCTATAATGAAGATATTGATCACCATATCATGCAATGTAAATTTGAACAGCTGCTTCAGATACATCTTATCTTATCAACTGAGCACCTGTCTGGTAATGCCGAGTTAATCATTTCTAGACACAGCTCCCAGCATGCCTATTGACAAGACTTTTGTTTTTAAACTTTGATTTACAAAGTTCAGCAAAGGCAGTGTGAACATCTGTTGTCAGCTTTGGATGGAAGCATGAAAGACAGAGATTTGCAAAGAAAAGTTATATTAAATGTTGTTTTAATAATTCTTCAGAAAGCATGTCTCTCATTTAAACATCCATAATGCCATTTTTACCCAGTTACAATATATAAAATCTTGTCACGCAGCTAAAATCCTCTGGGATGTGTGAATTGCAAACACACACACACAGACATACACACACTTCCTAGGTTCTGAACCCTTTGGAGAGATGTTTGGCTGCAGAACAGTGGATTCCTCGAGGTTCATGTCCATACCACAACTCACTGTCCCTTGAGGAGCTTTAAAAGAGTGTGATAAAATAGGTGCAGGCAGGCATCCAGACATGCAGTAGAAGCTCTTGTTTTGAGCTCACAGACATGTGCATATAAGCATAGCAAGAGCAGGGTAACACAGGTTCTTGACGCACCCGATAAACTACACTTGATGTTGACACCTGTAATGAAAAGAAGAGATAAAATGCAGAATTTCTATGGTTTTGTGGCCACTACCAGACTGTGAAATGAGTGACGATGTAGTAGTCATGTAAGACCATCTGATGAGACACAAATGTGAAAGGCACGTGAATTCACTGCAGGACCACACCACATATTAACATAAAATCGTAAAACAACAACAACAAAACATGACCTAAAAAGAACTACTGTATCTATTGTGGAATAAAACTGCACCAAAAAAGTAAAATGAAAATTGACACATTTTCCAAAAAAATGACAAAGTGACACAACACCAGTTACAGGCAAAGGTCAAGCTCTTCACACCTGACCACAAGGGAAAAACTGAAATGGAGATTAAAGATAAGGGTTAAAGAAAAGTGTGTTAATGTGTGTGTAAGAAAGAGAAGCAGGGCATTGAGCAGAGAGGGCCCATCTGCTCTCATTTTACCTCCTCGATTTGACTGTGTATTGAACATGAATGTTAAGGAAATGTGTATGCAAAAAAAAAAAAAAAAAAAAACAGGATTGTCATGTTTTGTTCTCGTGTTTGGAAATCAGGGAAGATGTTTTTGCCATTCATTCAAAAGCAGAAATGAAATTCTGAAGTGAAATTAACATCACTGATGTTTCATCTATATCTGTAATATCCGCTCAGACTGAAAACTGTTGCTAAAAGGTTGTCTTAATACAATACCATACAATTTTTATTTATAAAGAACATTTCAAAACAACCAATACCAGTGTTGTAGTACTCGAGACTCGGACTCGTCTCGGACTCGGTCTCGAGACCATATTTTAATGGTCTTGGTCTTGTCATGGACTCGTGTCCATTTGGACTCGGAATTGACTCGTACTCGAACATTTTTTTTTTTAGGACTCGGAATTTTTCCCGAGTCCACTCGAGTTCAATTAAAAATAGTTTTCATGATTATTAATGTATGTGAATAAAATATTTCTTTAAATTGATTGACACGGCCAGTGATTGGTGATTTTCTAGTGCGCAACTGCGCATGACAAATTGTAATAAAATTACTTTTAACACCACCTACTATGTGGCCTTTTTATCCTAAACTGATCATATTTTTTAAACTCTAAGTAAATTCAGTAAAAAAAAAAAAAAAGGATTTCTCTAAGTAAATAAAAGTAAATTAGGTAATCAACCCTCACTGGTCTCGGTCTCGACTCGGACTCGACCGCCTCTGGTCTCGTACTCGACTCGGACTCGACTCTCTATGGACTCGGTCTTGACTCGCACTCGACTCTCTCTGGTCTCGGTGTCGACTCGGACTCGAGTGAGGTGGTCTCGACTACAACACTGACCAATACAACCAATATAATAGGCTTCCCAGACAGCAGCATAGAGTCGGCCCACCCTGATACGAGAAACACATTTGGATAATCATCTGTTGTCAATTCCCATTTATTTAAAATACATACAATATTGTATCTTTAAAATATTTATTTGGCCAAAATACTTCTCATATCTACACAAACAGTATATGTACTTAATTTGCAATGTTATTTACAATTTAAAAAAAAAAAAAAAACATTCTAGCCTTTTAATTTTTTCAGGTTGAAAAGGAGTGGCGTTGAGCAGGTGGTGTTGGCCAGACAAGGCCGTTTTTTTTGGTCAATTACAGAGACATATGGTGTATTAATACCTTCACCTGACCACAGTGTAGGCGCACTCCTCTGAAGTGACCTTAGAGCACAGAGCAATTACCAGACCACAATTTTTTCCCCATTCAACACGTCCGATGAGCTCTCGTGTTCTTGCTCTCCTTTCCAACATTGGTCTTGACCTTACAAAAGT